CGAGTAATTTGAAAAAAGCTGGAAATTGATCAAAGAATCATCCCTGAAATTATTTGCCTCTTTATACGAAACACCCTTTATATATATGTATATAATATATTCATAAATATTTTTTAAATAACTAAAGCAATCAGACACTTAATATTATTTGTAATATGTGCCATTGTACATGATTCAATTTTAAAGTTTTTCTGAAAAAAGAAAAAAATTATTCAAATAAAATGAAAGAAGAGAAAAAAAAAACTACAAATCAACCTTTAGAACTAATTTCACTTTACAGTATAAGTAATTAAAAACCACAAAACAATTAAAATTTAAATTCATTTAAATGAGTTAATAAATCAATTAAAATTTGATTTTTTTTTGTGTAATAACTTCAATTAATTATAAATGTTATTAGATTTGAAATTAATTAGTTGACTGATAATAAATTATTAAAAAAAAAATTTTTAAGTAAAAAAATTACAATAAACAGAAATAAAAATTTTATTTTATTAAATTTTGATAAATTATAACTATAAAACTTCATAAAAATTTTTCAGTTGTGGTGCTAGACGGAATTTATAGTAGTCATTAATATTCAAAAATTTTTTATAGTCATCCGTTTTCGAGATTCTTCGTCCGATTGTGAGTAATATTTATTAGCAGACATTTTGACAGTCATTTAAAATTTGTAGCAAAAAATATGGACTCAAAAGATATGAAACTCATATTTTAGAATTAAAAGACTCGTAGTTATTCGATTGAAAGTTGAGTAAATTAAATAATTATATTATAAATCTTATATGCTTACTTATTTTCCAAACACAACATCAAACATTTTTATAATTTACTACAAGTATATTGCATTTCAATTTTAATATCTTTAATTTTGGTAGAAATTTAGAAGCTATGGTGTAAGGTAGAGTGTTAATGGTATTGTTAATGGTTAAGTAGATTGTTTATTCATAACAATCCATGGTGCTATATGCTTAGTTTTTGTAATTACATATAAGTTTTTTCCATAATGTTTTTTAATTAATTTGAAATCTAAATGATTCAATTAGTTTCTGTCCAGGTGTTTTATTTAATAAAATTTTGAAATTTTAATCAAAATTGTTTATATTATGATGGTCTATTTTTATACGGAAATAAATCTAGTAATAACGTTAAGTATGTTAGAGAAGAAATAAAAAATTGTAGCCATTTAAATATATTTTCCTAATAAAGCGCGGACCTCTTTAAAATTTTGAATGAAAATAAATTAATTGATGTTAGTTTTTTATATGCTCACTTTGATTAGTTTATTTTGTTAAAAAATACTATACTACTCTCAATCGTAAAGGGTGTGTCAAAACTCACACACAATTTGAATTTTGCGTCATTTGAACGGTAAAGTGTTGCCAACAAAAAAAAATTCACCGTTGACAGTTCAGGGTTATAAAAAATGGAGCGTCACACAAAAAAACAACTCATTTTTATTGTTTGGCAATATTTTGTAAATAATGAAAGTTTTTCGAACAAAATAGCTTTCAGCGATTAGGCTAATTTTGATCTTGATGGCTTTGTTAATCCACAAAATTATCTCATTTGGGGTTCAGAAAATCTACAAGTGATTGTTGAGAAACATATGCATCCACAACATGTCACTAATTGGTGTGGATTTTGGGTTGGAGCCACCATCAGATCATTCCTCTTCAAAAATGCAGTTGGTTAGACAATAACGGTTAATGGTGCTAGCTATCGAGACATTATAATCCAAATAAAATAAAATAAGATAAAATAATCTTTGTAAATATATTATAAGTATATAAAACTTTGGTAGGGATTAACCAACACTTGTTTAGTACAAATGGTTAATTTACTTCTTTATTTCCAACTATTTTTAAGTAAATAATTAGCTATTGAATTGTACAATTTTTACTTTGGTTTGAAATAAATGAAATGAAATGAAAAAAAAAAAAAAAAAAAAAAAAAATTCTTTGTGTCAAAATTTTAGAACACCCTTTACGTGAGTTTTGGAATTCCTTTTATATAAGCAATGCATTTGTCATAGTAAGAAATAGCTTTGTCTAGAACTATTCATAACAAAAAAAATTTACCAAAAAAAATAACTATGATTCTTTAAAGTTACAAAAAAAAGTTGTTATATAGTTTGCTCCGTCTCAATAACACTTATGAATTATTAATGAAAATTTTTTCTTATTATACATAGTAGTGCTCTTCATACAATTGAATACAATTGAATACTCAAAAATTCTTGTACATGTATGATATTTTGGTTGATTTATTTCTTAATTCCAAAGATAAGGTTTTAAGGTTTCTTAGAAATAAATAAAAATCAAAAAAAAAAAAATTTGGCCAATATATGCCCGACCGCATCGACTTTCTTTCAAGCTGATATTTAAAACTGACATTTGCTCTTGATAATTGATCCTATTTATAATATTAGTAAAATAGTAAACCCAAAATTATAGAATTGTTTTGAATTTGTTTAAAATCTTAAGATTTATTTGGTATTTTTTTTTAAATCTTTCTAAGAACATATGAAAGGATTTCTTATAATACATTTTTTTGCGGACAACTATATGATTTTCTTTGATTCAAAAGAGTAAAATAAACACCTAAGAAAGATTTAATTTCGAGTACTCTTTCGTTCAAATTAAAATGAAAAAATTTGGTAAGATTACAATACGGTCGGCAATATGATCAATTCATAGTATAGAAAACCCCATAAGATTATCAATAATCCGTATAATATATTGCCGGATCGCCATTACTTAATTTGAAAAAATAATTTGGACTTTGAAAATTGACTTACTATGTAATGTACATATATGTATGTACATGAATAATATTTTACTTATAAATATTTTGTTTACCAATATCAAATCTGATTTAAAAATATTAAACTTTGAGATAATTTCAGAAATTTCAAATATATCAGTTCAAAGTTTTATTTAAGTACAATCATATTTTGCCTTTCATATGACATATGTACATATATAATTACCTAATATTATAGGAATGTATAATAGATTTGAAGTTGGCTTGAAATGTTATTGTATACAAGCACCTTTATGTGCAAATATTAGAAATTTGATTAGATTCAGATCAGAGGAATAAAAAATTAGTACAAAAATTCATTATTATCAAAATATATTTAAAAAATCATCGAAAATTTCAACTGTTCATTAAATAATATCGATAAGATATATTTCCTATGTAATTTTCAAAATATAATAATTTAAAAGTGCTGAAAAGTTAGCGGTATGTATATATAATATTAATTTAACAGATACTTAAAAATAATTGTGAATTATAATTGTGAATATACACTTGAGATAATGTCATTTAATTTGATCGTGTTATCAAACATAAAACAAAGTTTAATTTGATTTGAATACAAGTATGTTTACATATATTAGAATGAAATATGTGAAAATCTTTAAAAATTTTTGATTAATTATATAGTATAAGTTTATTTATTTATTTATATTATACATATATACATATCAGCAGCTAAAATTTTAAATACTCTTATCATAATTTTAGCATTTGTATGAAATTCATTTACAGGAACTTTTCTCGAATTCTCTTAAAAAGAGACTGAGTGCATATACACTTTTGGAGAAACATTGTATGTGTAGCCTGATTATTTTATATATGGTCCAGTAAAGAAACCCAAATATTTTCATTTAAAACCATTTATTCCGCAAAGAATTAGGAATTTTTACTGGGAACAAATACTCATCATATTACGTCTATATGTGTAAGCAAATATCACAATATATTGGCTCTTTCGATATAATTATTAAAAAATTGTTTACTGATTCTTTATTATTATAAAACACAAAAAATAATTGATGAACAATAATAATTCTTATTGAAAAAATTCTAAAACACTTTAAATGCCTTTGATATACTTAAAGAAAATGTTCTTTTGTTTAGAAAAATCTATTAAAATCGAAAATGTATTTATTAATTTAGAACAACACCATATTGAAATTAAACAATAATTATAACATTATTTTGTTTATATTGTTTCCTAAACTAATTTTGTATTTTTCTATATTTTTGTATAATAAATTGAATTGATTCTACATTTGTAATATTCCACACAAATACAGCGAATTCTGTGACTAAGAGGAAAATATTTACTAAATGCGGAATAATTTCCTTCATCTCTTGTACTTATTTTATAATTTTGCTCTCTATATATTTGAAAACTGTTGGTACTCTATAAGTGTCACTGATTTTGTTAATCTTACTTATTTATAATGATTTCTTATAAATAAAATGTGTCTATTGTTTATACTATAGACACATCGGCAATTTCGGCCATTACACTCAATACTGAAACTGAATTAGTTAGAGTTCTTGATAATTTAAAAAAAAAATTCGGTCTGTTAAATTTTCCATATAAAAGAGAACTGTTAGTATGAGTAAAGATTTCATTCTATTTTAAAAAAGAAATTTTTCAATAAGTTTTAATTCATATTCGAATGAATTGCTTATGATGTTCTTACAATAAGCAGATTTATTTTTTTTACATTTCAAAAAAAAAAAATTTCATTAAAGTTTGAAAAATTAATTGAATCTTTTACTAATTTGTTTATTTAACGAGTAAAATTTGGTGTTCAAACAAAAAGAAAAAATTAAAACAAAAATGTTTATAATAATCTTGTATTAATTTGATTTCTCACTGGCAATATAATATGGTGCCGATACTTAAGTTAATTAAGACTAATGATATTTTGAAAATTGTTTTAGACAACTTAATGTTAATGATTGAATTTTAATGATTTTCAATAATCACATCCAATGAAAACCCCAAATGAATATTTTCCAAGCACAAAATATTTTCTTTAGAACCGCAATGAAATTTAATTGTGATTTATTTTTTATTTTTACAAATAATTCCCCAATCCCTATTTTCACTTTCTTATTAAACCAATATTCAAAATTACACACAAAATATGTTCGTTTGATAATATGAAAAATACAAAATAAATTCTTACCTTTCTGAATGCTTTTCTAAAGTTTTCTGAGAAGAATGCATATAAAATTGGATTGATGCAGGAACTTGTATAAGCAAGAGTTTGTGTTCCAACTTGTAATATTATATTAACAGCATTTGTTTCAAATAATCCTAAGCTTCGCAATATTAAAATTATCTGAAATCAAATGAATAAAAAATTTCATTAGAGTTTTAAAGGAAGTTCAAATTTTTTGCAAAATTTCAATTACTTGTACAGGAAACCATAATGAAGCAAATGCTAAAACAACTACTACAACAACTCTTGTTACACGTCTTCGTCCTTTCTGTGATTCAGCTGACATTGTGCCACCAATTCTATGCCATAATCGTGAAACAATTTTTATATATAAAATACTGATTAAAACTAATGGGAAGAAATATGATATAGTAAAGAATGTAATTTGATAAACAGCTTGATCCACCATTGAATTATAATCGTATGAGCAAGAAAGCCATTTTATATTATCGCATTCATATGACTGAAAAGAAATTTAAAATTATATTCAGTAAGAATTGCAATTAATAAATTATTTTTCTTAAACTTGAGCTTTTGATACAAAGAATATCCTTAATTAATTTTAACTTATAAAAGTTATGCATTAAGATGAATTAATAAAAAGAAAAGATTTTTCTTATCTTATTTAAAATTACATTTATTAATTGAAATGAAAAATATTACTTACCCATAAATTATAAAGCATAAAAGTTGGAGCCGAAACTATTAAAACTGTTATCCATAAGATAACAATTGCAATTTTCGTTAAAAATTCGGTTCTAATTCCTCGACTTCGTACTGGATATACAATTGCTAAAAATCTATCAATTGACATTAATACTAATGTATATATGCTAGCTAACATTGTAACAACTATTAAATATTGTACAGTTCTACACCATGTAACACCAAATGGCCATATATATGCCAAATAATCAACTGCAGTAAATGGTATACAAATTATCACAAAAAGTAAATCAGCACACGCTAAATTTACAATTAATAAATTTGTTGTTGAATGCATATGCGTATTTAATAATACAACTAATATTACTAATGAATTACCAAAAAATCCTGTTATTGCAATAATACTAAAAAATAATGGTACTAATATTGGTATTACTTTAGTTACTAATTGTAATTCAGGTTTTTCTCTTTCGTTACAATGGGTAACATTTAAATAATGATTAATATTATTTGTATAATTAACTATATTATTTAATATTGTTGAATCTATTGATGTTGTAACAGTAGTTGTTACATTTGTCATTACTAATTGTTGTAATATTGTTTCCATAGTTGATGATAATGGTGTTATATTTTGTTCTATAATATTATCATAAAAATTGTCATTGTTTTCTATTGATATTGAATTCATTTTTCACTATTTAATTTTGTTTTATTTTAATATTAGTTTTTTTTTATTTCTACAAGTTTACAGAAAATTAAAATTATTGAAAAAAAAAATATTGAATTAAATTTGTAAAATCATCACATTTTAAATAGTAATATACAAGTATGTATTTGGCATAATTTTTCAGTCAATTATTTTTTACGATATTATAATTGTTTAATTTTGAAGAATTGGTTATTTGAAATTCTGAACTATGTTGTTTAATATAAATGTTTAATATATCTGTAAATAGAATTTTATAACTATTAATTTCACTCTTTATCAATTATATAATTCTTCTGTTCTCATGTATGAATTAGAATTCATTTTAAAATTTACCATAAAAGAAAGTAAAATTGTAAAATTTGTTACAAAATATCTTAATTACTTATTTTATGCTTAATTCCAAATTAATAATAGTCAGTAAAGTTAAAAGAGCTTAGACTAAAAAACACACTAATTTATGAACAACACTAAGATGAACTTGCCGAAACATGGATTAAACCCTTCGAAATTAAATTTTAGTGCGTACTTATTCATATTGTAAGTGTTAAATTCTGACATATAAATATAGTATAATGTCAATTTGACTGTAGTATCTTTCGACAAAAAACCAAAAACACTGTACAAGTAGCTTGAAGTAATACAATTTGTGAAATAATATTATATGGAAATCTCACCTCCAATATGATATTTTGTTGTTGAATTTTAATGAGATCTCATATAACATTTTTTTTAATTATAAAAATGAACCTCGAAAATGAATAATTTTTCAAATATTTTTCATTTATTACAATATATGAGTATGTATGTATATATAATTATATATTTAAAGTGTTTCTCATCTCATAACCACTAACATTATACTCGTATAATAATAATTTTCGTTGAAATTATTAATAATATTTTGTTAATTAATTATTTCCTATAATTTTTAAAATATTTATAAAATACATGAAAATTTGTAAATTTATTTCTCAAAATAATTATTTATTCCTTTCTAAATTATTTCAAATTAATAATTATTTGTGTATAGTTTGTGTATAAAATGCATCAATCATTAAATTTACATCTATGTACATATATTATATAATATAATTATTTGTATCTATTAACGTGTATATACATACATCCGTATAAACAGACATATTGCATATATTTAAGCATCATCATATACTTAGCATCATCAAAATATTCATAAAAATTTTCGCAAATTTTATGGTTTTGCAATTAAAAAATTATATTACATTTTATAATATTAAATAAACGATAAATAATAAATAAATATTTTAAATTTTAGGTATTTTTCTTCTATTAATATAAATTATTACGGAAACAATATGTAGTAAAAGACGATGCCTTTTAAGTATTGTGTAACACTCAATTTTTATTCTATATTGGCAATATTACCAAAGACAATGTCAATTATGAGGTTATTTTTCACGGAATTCTGAAAAAAATATTGAAATGTGGATTTTAATATGCTCTCATTTAAAATTTTAAGAATTTCTCTTGGGAATTCAACAATATCATCCAAACATCAGCTGCACTTAAACAATTTTGAGCATTTTTTATGGGGTTTACATTTTTATGGGAGTTTATAAAGTTTTGGTGTTTTAGACTTTCACACAAAAAAATAATTTAACCTCTATTCCTTAGAATTCGTATGATGTTTTGATATACCGAAATTTTGCAACTTACAACAAAGCAATTGAATTTTTGCTAAGTTGCCGGTACATATTATCTACATACAAGTCCACACATAGTTATAATTTCTTCTTAAAGCCAATTTTGAGATTAATTTTTCTTTTTTACTATGGTAACATTATAAATTATGGTAACATTAATAATTTAATTCTCAAGATTTATCAAAGAAAAAAAAAATTTTATTTTACTAATAAAATATAAAACACCATTTTACTTTTATCGTAATAAGTATTTAACATTTCTGAACCAATTATAACCGGTTTAACGAAACTCTGCAGGGGAATTAATTAAACTAAACTAATATTCGTAAATAGAAATTAGATTTGTTAATTGCTTTAAAAATTAAAAATTAAAATTGTTTTCTAGGAATCCTACAAATTTCTTCAGAATTTTTTTTTTTTCGTTAATTTAAAATGAAATGCGAGTTCGCGTGTATTTATTCTTAGTTATACGTTTTCTTCTTATTAAATATTAATATTTACTTATGTATGTATATATGAAAAATTATATTTTACTTGAATGTGGCGCATACTTTTCATTATCAAGTTTAAATTATGTATTTATTTAAAGAAAATAAAAAATGATAAGATTTTATCTTTAAGTATTTTAATTGAAATTTGGGGGGGGGGGGGAGAAGATTCAGGTGAGTTGTTCATTGTATGTATTGTAATTAATTAAAATTCTTGCATTCTCTATAATAATTTGTTAATTTTAGTCTATGTGTATATTTGGATATGTAGATCAATGTGTAGTATATCTCATAAATCGTTTGAGTTTGCTTGAAGAATTTAATTTACGGTATGAATTTACTGCAGTTTTTATAAAATAGATTGAAAAAGTGAAAATATTTTTACTGCATTAATTAAGAAATTGTGTAAATTATTTTTAACCAATTGATTTGTTCATGTTGTTTAAAAAATATTTTAAGCAACATTTGAATATTGTGTCAACTAAATAAATTTTTTGAAAGTCCAATTTATTTAATCAGCAGTTTGAAATATTTTGCATAAGAATGGTTTTTGTAGTTTCTTTATATTTCTACACAAAAATTGTCAATAACTATAAAATATTATCTGTACATACTGCATCTATGTATATAATATTGAATACAATTTTTATAGTGACCTGACCGGGGTTTGAACCCGAGACCCTTCGGTTAAAGGGCCGGTGCCATAACCACTGCACCAATGATCAGGTTAAAAAAATACATATATTTTAAGTCTCTTTTTATACTGACTATTTTTATGCGTTTAAGTTGTGCGGCTCGTGCTCTTTGTGTTTTTATTTCATCCAAAAATTTCTTGGATAAACATATAAACTTATTTATTAAGTCTACGTCTAGACACTTTAGAAAAATCGTGGAACGTTCAAAGCACACTCCATTTGTTCAATTGACATGATTATAAGGTTTTTGGATATGTAAAAGAGAGCTATAAATTTATCCACATTAAAACATAGTAGAATCATTATTGCAAAGCTTCATTATTGCAAATGAAGTTTATAAAAATCCATCACTTTTACAAAATCTGTTGCAGAGATAGTTTCTTCTGATGGAATTTTGATACCGCTGTGCAAACGTTACGGTAATGACTGAACTATATAAAATGGAATAAGTATGGAAGTAATTTTATTTTAGGCTTTTCAATGAATTTTTTCAGGCACTCGAAGTAATTTATGTGGCAGCCTATTTTGTTTTCATTTCTGCGAACTTTTGTAAGAGGTTTTATTACGAGGGAAAATATTACCCGTACTAGGCGAGTAAAATCTTTTTTAATGCGAATTATTCACAGGATTTTTTGTGGAACGTGTATATACCGTATATACATTTTTTAATATTTTTATAGTAAGTGAATATGTTGATTATTTGAACTAGAAGCCCATGTATAACATTAAATTGTTTTAAGAATTTAAAAACTGTTTACAATTATTTATAATTATTTTCGCTTTTTATTTTAAACTTTTACTCTTGTTATATTAATAGATAAATCATAATATTCTATTGTAGTTCAATAAATTGTTTATTATAAATTTTATTTGTAATTGTTTTTGTTATTCTGTATACTATTGTTTATATTACCGCATATTCCATAAATTTCTTGGCAACATTATATGAGCAACATGAATAATGTTGCATTTCATACTGATATACCGCAAAATATAAAACAGTATTTTTGTTTTTCAAAGCCAATAACTCGGAAAATTAAAAGATTCTAATTAGCTATATGTACATATGTATGTGATTTATAACATTTACAACAATAAACATTTTTCTTAATATTCAAATGCAAAACATTTAAGATTCGATAAAAGTAAAATTTTTATTATAAAATAGGTACTTAAAATAATTTTTTTTTTTACGATAATGCAATTTAATAATTTCAATTTTATTTGAAATTTCCGATATTATGTAAAATTTATTTAAAAATGTATGTAAAATTTTTCTTTTTATCTTTCTTTTATTTAATTAAAAAATTCTTTAAACAATTTATTAATTATCTAAAACAAATATGAGAACAGAAAGGAATTTTTTTGTTATTTATTTTGTAAATATTTATTATTTTTGTGTATATAAAAATTACAAAATATAAAATAAAAAACAATTAAACACTTTATGATTTAAGATTTTTTTTTATACGAGTATAGTTTTTAAAATACGTACATACTTATTATTATTGCATACAATTTTTATTGTGATTATAAAATTTCTTTTTCTCGATATTGTTATAAAAACTGATAATTTATAACAGTTTGTTTATAATATTATTATACTTTAATTAAATGTTATAATTTTGTTTAATTATTGCATAATTAAAATATAAAATTATTTTTTCTAATTATTTTATATTTGTTTTTATTAAAAAAATTTTGATTTTTTATTTTCTTTCATTGATTCTCCATTAACAATAACAATATAATCAATATCACGTTTATTCTTTTAATATAGAATAATTCTTTGTTAGTAAATAGCAAATCAACAAGTTAATTAAAATTTTATTTAATTAATAATATATATTATTTCAATTATTTATAATTATTGAATAGGAATAAGGAAAAAAAAAATTTTAAAAATTAAAGAAAGACCCGTGTCCGATATCGATAAAACTCAAATTTAGACTGTGGCGAATGCGAATACTCATTGCTTTAAAGTAAAAATTTTCAACCCCAATATTGAGGAATCAATAAAAAAAAAAATATGAGAAAAAAACAACAAGCTAATTACTTCAAAGCAAAAATAAAAAAATAGAACAAAAAAAAAGGAAAAATAATAAAAAAAAAAA